ATGCGTGTTTCTTTCTCTTTCTCCTTTTCCAAATGCCAAACATGCCCTTCATCCCAAATAATCCTCTTTTTAATTCCAAAACTAATATTCTTATTTCCTTTTAATCCGAAATTAATTCCAATAATATTTTTAAATACAATAATAATAACAATAATATTAATAATAATAGTAAAAACACTATTAATCATCATATTATCATTATTATTAATCGTATTTTTCTAATATTATGGATCTTAATTTCTCAAACAAATTCCACGCAAGCATGCCAAAAATAAATACATCGAAAAACTCAAATAATTAAAATTGGCGTTACAACTAGGTCAGCAAATCCAGATGATACGCTGCCTAGCATCTTTTTCCAAAAGAGTGGCTGAAGAGTGTCCATGAATAATCCAGTCAATTCCTTTTTTTCCAAGGGTGGCTCTACCTGAGATGCTAGCTCTCTCCAACGTTGAGCGTATTCCTTAAAGGATTCTTTTTCTTTTTGAGACATATTTTATAGTTGACGACGGTCAGGTGCCATGTCCAGGTTGTACTTATATTGCTTCAAGAAAGCACCAACCAAGTCTTTCCAGCTTTGGATACGATTCTTCTCAAGTCCCATATACCATTTTAGTGAAGCTCTACTTAAGTTGTCTTGGAAACAGTGAACGAGTAATTTGTTGTTGTTGGTATAGGAAGCCATCTTGCGATAGTACATCACCAAGTGACTTCTAGGACAGGTGTGCCCCTTATATTTCTCAAATTTAGGAGTTTTAAATTTGGCAGGCATAACCAAATCTGAAACTAAGTACATGTCTATTATGGCAGCACCAAAGACATCACTTCCTTCTAGGGCTCTTATCCTGTTATCTAGAGTTTACTATTGCTCTCTGACTTCTTCAATGTATCCAGGTTCTCCTTGAATTTCAGATTGCGGACCAACGGCATGGTACACGGTAGGAGGATTCTCAAGAGTAGCTTGAGCAACAGTATACACAACAGGTTGAGATTTAGTGAACAAAAGAGCTGAAGATAACGACAGTACGGATGGGTCAACCATTAGAGTAGTTGTAAAGGGTGGAGAGCAATTCAAAGGTAACCTAAATTCAGGCCAAGTAGAAGCTGGTTGCTGGATCAGTGGAAGATTAACAACGGTAGTTGGAATTTTAGAAATCACAGTCCTCAGAGGTGATTCTCCTCTAGCGATTAGAACTTGCATCAATTCTGTGAGCTTGGTCATGCTGGCCTTCAAATCATTAATTTCCATTCTAACTTCAACATTGTGTTGTTCTTGACTTTCCATTCTCAATCTAACAACATATCTAGTTCCGTAGTTGTGTTGAGGAAACAACTTGATGGTGAACAGATAACTGGACAAGAAATAATTGAAATGAGTTCGCTGGCAACTGGGAGGAATGCATATGTATGCTCATGAATGCAAAAGTGCATGGATGCAACAACCACGAACAAGATCACACAAAATACACAGGTTCAAAGGTTCGACATGAGCATGGAGACAAAGGTAAGAGTCAACCCACAAATGTATGTACTAAGGTTATATCATCACTTGTAGAACAAGGTTCTAAAAAGTTCCCAGAGTCATAATTCCATCTGTTGGATATTATTGGCTTAGACAACTACTCGTCGACCAACAATATTCTCAAGAGAAACTCGTTTGAGTGTGGTATCGCGTAACAACTAATTCAAGTCTACACCTGAATAGCCACCGCACCACGTCATAATAAGGCCAAGATGGGTTAAAGGGTTCTAAGGTCCTCAGTTTCTCAGGCTCCTAGGTCGGAAAAAGTAATGCCAATTACGACTACTTATAAGACATCAGTAATTCCAAAGGGGCCTCTACTAAGCAGGGGATCTCAAGTCAGCTTAGTAAGGACTACTCAATGTAAGCCAACAAGACTATACCACCCTCCTATCCTAAGTGCACTCAAGTCCGGGTATATGACTTATCTCGCCACACAGAATCACCAAGCACCAAGACAGAACAAGCAATAACAAACAAATCAAACAAAAAGCAATAAATAAATCAAAGTAGGCTAAACCCACTAGGAACATTTGAGTTCCCCAGCAGAGTCGCCACTTTTCTGTAGCGGGAAAATTTGTGAGTATAAGCTATTGATTAACTTAACTCCAAAAATGCAAGAGTCACCACCACACTTTTATTTTATCCAAAAAGGAAAGAAAAAGAGCAAACAAAACCAAATAGTTCTAAAACAAGAAAGAAAGAAACAGAGATCGGGGTAAGGGGGATGGTTACACAATGGGAAGGTGTTAGCACCCAAAACGTCTATAGTATTCAATAGGAGCCCTTTGAAACATTTACGCTTTTTGGCTTGAAATGGTTTGTTTAAAAAGAGATTGGGGAGATGAGAAGAGAATTATTTTTTAAGTTTTTGTGTTTGGAGAGACTTGTCGCCTCATGTCTACGTACCCACAAGGTGTAATATAGGATTAAAACCCCGTAGTTAGTGGTACAAATAACAAAATAGGTTTGTTATGGTTGATTTTAAGTGAATAGACAAGTTGTCATTTCCAAGCGAATAGTTTCATGAAGGCTCATTAGAGGATTGATAAAATCAAAGCCTCGTAACAACAAGCTTTATAAGTGATGGACTTAAGACAAGTAGTCAATCATGCTTGGACTTTCAAACATAGGTTTGAGTCATGAATGATCTCTTTTCTGATTACGGGACAATATAGTGCTATGTTAAGCAATTGTAATCGGGTTTATGTAGAAATCATGACTATCTGAGGCCGGTCAATATAATGTTAGTGCTAATGCATGCTAGAAAAGTGATACGTAGATCACTCTCCGAAAGCAATACAACACAAAAAGAAAAGAGGTGACGATCTCATCTTCATCAAGAATTTGAAATAAGTTCAAACGATATTGAAGATTTTCATCGATCAAGAGAAAAAAGAGAAGAGGAGAGGGAATACCAAGTTGAATTACAAGTTCAAGATCATTCTATCTTTAAGTTCATCCACTCATCTTGGTGGATTAAAGCACTAAACATATTATTAACTCAAAGCACCTAAAATGAATTGAACAATTCACTTTAAAGATAAATTTGAATTGATGAATGTTTATCCAACTTCATCTATACCCTAAGTCCAATGAATTTAAAGAGGAATATGACCTTTAAAAGTGTATTACATGGCCAAAACCAAAAGGAAATAAAAGAAGAAGAAGAAGTGAAAACCAAAACAGTCCTAAAACAAAGCCAAAAAACACATTCTGCACTGTACCAATCGATTGCACAGTAGAAAATTAGCAATTCTAGGCAAAAACAACACTGTGCAATCGATTGCACAAATATTGCAATCGATTGCACAATGACAGACAACATTAAAATCAACATTTACAAGGCAAAACCATGATCAAACATTTCTTCAAACATCTCTTGATCAAGGATGCAATTGAGCACGCAAATTCAAGTAAAATAAAAACAAATAACACCAATGGAATGCAATTTTCATGATCCAAAGATCAAGCAACAAGAATCAACAATATATCACATTGTGGAAGATGGATCAAGCACAACAATGGTGGAATAAGGGTTTACTAATTCAAATCTGAAAATTCTTCAAATCAAACTCCACAAACACCACTTCAAAGCTTTGATCTACAAGAATTGAGGATGAAAAAGTGAATGGATAAAGGTTTAGCTCAAAGATTAGGAAATTCTAGTGATGAAGTTACTAATCTTTCAAAGGGAGAAAGAGCTTTGGTGAATTTGGTAATTGGAGAAAATTGAAAGTCAAGAAAGAGTTTGACAAGGTAATTTTGGCTATCAAAAGCTTGAGAAATGAGACCTCTATTTATAAGATTTAGGCTTGGAAAATTTGGTGGATTGAAGTTTGGTTTGGAATCAAAATTAGGCTTGGAATTTGAATTTGGAGGGAAATTCAAGATCAAGTGGTGATTAGTGAAGGTGTATGGTGGGAATTAATTGTGATGAAGTAGTAGAATTATTTTTAGGTGATCTAAAATATTCTCAAATGATGAAATTGGTGCCAAATGCTTCAAAATTTGAAAAATGCTGATTTTGACCAATTATATCCTTGTGCAATCAATGCACTGTAACACAAATAGATTGCATTGTTGAAAACTTCAAAATCTAGGCAAAAAATGCAGGGTGCAATCGATTGGACCAATAGCGCAATCGATTACACATTTGAAAAACTTGAAAAATGCCTTGTTGGATGGATTGTGCTGGCTCTGGCTCGATACTTTTGCTTGTCAAAGAAGGCATGAAAATAAACACATGAACCTTGGAGTCTCTTGAATAAAAGTCAACCAAATTTTGGGAGACTCTTGATCAGATGATTTTGAATTGTTTGCGGATCAACTTTGACTTTTTTCAGATGAAATTCACTCGAGCTGAGAGACTGATATTTGATATCTTTGATCCAAATTCTTCCTGAAAAAATTAGTAAAGGAAAAACAAACATTTTTTTTTGGATTTTAATCGATGGTTGGTGATCCTTGCAAGACATATAGGAACCAAAGTATAATCTTGTTTGTGGTATAAAATGCGAAGATGCAAAAAAATGAGATGCGGAAAATCTTAGGGATAAAAATTAGGGTATTACACTACTGCACATCCACCGTTATTTTGAGAAGCTACAAGTAGTAGCTTTTAGCAAACGTAAGTTGATACCGTGATTTAAAAAAAAAGAAAATTCTACGAAGAATAGGTGGGTGAGATTTAGAGATTTAAGATTTTTAATTGCAAAATTAATTGTCTCAAATAAAAACTACTATAAATTATTGTATCATTTAAATTCAAAGAATTTATTTTAATAGGTAAATTATTATTAAGTATTAACTTAATAGATGACTGATATGCAATAAGTAAAAATTTTATATATAAAAAAATTCATTATAAGTGACATGGCGTGACAGCTGTATCTATGAGTTGAGTTGTTGTGTCTTGTGAGAATAAGTTGGGTTGGAGTCCGATACGACGACGACACTCTCATTCAGCTCAAGCGCAATGGCAGAAGATTCCCAACAAGAAGAGCACTTCGACGTTCTCACCAAAGACGGTGTCAAAACGGGAATTACCAAACCCAGGCAAGTAACGCTAACTCCCTCACATTCTCACACACACAATTCATCCATCTCATAACCAACCAAACGACTGCGTTTCAGAGGACAAGTTCATCGCGATGGAGATTACCATCGCGCCGTTCACGTTTGGATTTTCGCCGAGAGCACACATCAGTTACTTCTCCAACGCCGTGCTTCTTGCAAAGATTCGTGGCCTAATCTTTGGGACATTTCCAGCGCCGGTCACATCTCTGCCGGTGATTCCTCTCTCGTCACTGCTAGGTACATCAGTTCATCAATTTCCATTTCTCTTCCCTTTGATTAAAATTACTTTGCCTGTTTGTGTGTTTCTGTTGTGTTAGTTGATTTTTCAAAGTTGATTATAAATTTATTTGGTTGTTGACTTTAGATGATCAAGTAGAGTTAATTAGGTTCAGAATGTTTGGAATATGAAGATTGCATTGGTGATTAACTGTATAGTGTTTTATATTTGATTTTTTCAGGAGGGAGCTGGAAGAAGAGTTAGGTATAACCCTTCCCAAGGATGCATTCGAATTGATATTTGTTTTCCTACAAGAGTGGTAAGATCATTGATGTTTTTCACGTTCAATTAATGCAGTACTTCCTTTCTATTATTATCCACGAACTAGCTTATTTTTACTTTTGATATGAAATGCAGTGTTACAAATGATGGAAAGTTCATCAATAACGAATATAATGACGTGTTTCTGGTAACTATTATAGATCCAATACCTTTGGAAGCTCTTACACTTCAGGTGATGATGGTTAAGATACTTTCAAATTGAACATTCTGCATTTTCACCACATTTATTTATATTTCTCAATGATCTAGGGGTAAGGGTACCACTAGGGCGGGTGCTGTGAGATTTGGGGTGAGTATATAGAAATGGGATTCACTGGTATTGTTGAGAGGGAAGTGATAGCTAGTAAGTGTATGAGAAATACAACCGTGATAAAGACAAGATCCCAATATTTTGAGGGAAGAAAGACATAGCTAAGTAGAGTAAGGTCAATGTCCACAATGTATCTATGTTTTCTTTCTACTACACCATTTTGATGGTGAGTATGGAACAAATTAGTCCATGTATAATGCCAAGGGCAGTGGAAACTTGGTAAAAGTTCTTAATTCACCACTCCAATTAGTTTGTAAGGGTTTAATGGGGAAGTTCAACCATAACTATAAATTGTTGAAAAATTAATAGAGCATCAAATTTGCTCTTCAAAAGGTAAATCCAAGTGAACCTAGTTGTAACATCAACAAGGGTGATGTAAAAAAGGTAGTTATTATGATTTTACTGAGGAAGAACCCCATAGGTCATTGTATATCAGTTCTAATGGTATGTTGCAGAGTATGTGAGGGTGGAGAGTGTAGTTTGTGTGCGTTTTCCATACAACAAGCAAAGCAAAACATAGAATCACTTTTATTTCTTGAACTGGAAGGTTGCATTGTGGAAGAATAAGATGTGAAGTGTTTTGATTAGGATGAACTAACCTTCAACGCTTAAGAAAATAAGAGCTAGGTGACATAATGTCAAAAGAACTACTAGAAGAATTACAAATAGATGAATTATTGTGTTGTGTGAAACTAGACAATAGGTTGACCTGAAGAATGCTACTGAAGAATTGGGAACTCATAGAGGCCATCTGTCCCTACTGGACGTTCTAGCAAGATAATATCAGTGGTCTGAGATTTAACAACACAATGATTAGGATAGAAAACAATACATGCATAGTTGTCTTTGGCAGATTTGGTCACACTGATAATATTTTGGTAATGAAAGGGACATGAAGTAAATTGTGCAAAACTAAAGGAACATTAGGATTAAAAAGAGAGGAAAAATGGGAGGAACCAATAGATAGAATTGACAAATCTTGACCATTGCCTGTGAAGATCTGCTCTGATCCTTTAAAAGGGCATTTGTTGGTAAATGTTCTCTGAGCTATTGGTGATATGATAAGATGCATACGATCAATGTTGTCAGAATCGAGATTTTACTGAAGATCGGAAGTAGAGAGCAAAATCGTAAAATATGAAATTGTAATTAAGATCGGAAGATTCTACCGAATTAGTTTTATAGAATCGATAGTGGATATCATGATCGTAAAATATAAAATCGTAATTAAAAATGTAAGATTCTATCAAAATAAAAATAATAAAAAAATCTATTATTTATATTTATTTAAATTGAAGAACAGTCTTGCTATTATTCTAAACCTTTGTGCGTGCCTTCTAAAGCTTGAAGAATAAAATATACATATAATATTAAAATACTGAAAAGCAAGTTTAACGATTAACCAATTTTACTGACCAATTTTTAAAAGCAAGTTGAATACTGAAAAGCAAATAGTACGATTAACCAGTTGTCATCACGTAAATAGTACGATTAACCAGCTGTCATCATATGGTGCAAAAAAAGACAATAAAGGCAAAAGTGTAAAAGCAACCAAAAATCAAACCAGTCTAAAAAAAGCCGAAGATAACTCCAAATGCAGAAACGCAGAAGATGAACTCCAAATGCAGAAGATGAAAAACTTGAAAAGCAAAAGATGAACGATGAATCCAAAATTCAAAAAGCAGAAGTTGGATGGCAAATCCCAACAAGGTTTCGATTCAGATGTCTTATAAAAATCAGGTTTTTCTTTGCTTTTATAAAAATCGGGTCAATATTACTACCGGTAATAAATCTCAGAATGGTATGATTTTCCAGCGATTCCGCGAAAAATCATATGGGCCGAAAATTTCTCTGTGATTTCCGGTTAGTTACGATTAATCTAGATCGGTGGAGGGGATTGAGATCGCAAAATCGTGCGATTCCATGATCTGGATCGCGATTCTGACAACATTGCATACAATGATGTATTGGGAAGAGAATGTTGGTGATCATGGCATTAGGTGTAGGTAAATACCGAGGCATGGTAGGGAGAGGGAGGTGGATGGAGTTGAGGTCATGTATTGGGAAAGTCACAGGAGAAACCATTAGGTGCATTTGAGCTTGCATAAGGAGCTTGAAGGTTTGTGTAACTTTGCATGTCAGAATGGACATGTGCTTGATATAATGTTGGTTGAAGCGATGGTAACAAATGGGAGCAATATGTCCAAATTTGAAGCAAACTTGACATTGCATGTTGACGAACTTGCCACGACCATGGCCACGTTCTCACGACCACGGCCAGCATCCCCGTAGTGAGTTAAATCAAGCACTGGGGCATTGTTATCCTCCTGTGAATGAAAGTAAGTTGATTCACTGAAATTGAGTTAAAGGGGGTAGTCGGGTACATGTAAGACAAAATTTAGAGACAAGGATGGAAGGGATAAAGCTTGACCAATACCCGTAGCTTGTCCCTTAAAATCATTAGCAAGGGTAATGTGGTGAGGTGTTTTAGGAAGGAGAAAAATTAAAGATATATGATCATAGGAACTTGAATCTTAAACAAAAGATCCAATAATCCCATTGAATGAGATAAAAAATTGCTAGAATTACCAAAATGTATCATAGCGGCTGAAGAGAAGGTCTGTTGTGTTGGGCTGCCATAAAACTATGAACATTAATTAACCTAGAACAAAGTTTGAGCTAGCGTGCAGCCAGATAAATCAGCCTACTACAAATGGGTCCAAACAGATGGAAAAAAACTAAAGCAGCGGCCGAGAAACCTCAAGGTGTGATACACAACCAGGAGTGCAACCACAGAAATCAGCTAACTACAAATGGGTCCAAACAGCTGGATAAAAATTAAATTAGCAGCCAAGAAACCTCAAGGGTGCGATGCACAACCAGGAGAAAAACAGAAAACCACGAACGTAGATGTCAAAAACTGAGTAGGCAGAATCATAATATCCCCCAAAGACTAGTAGCACACAATAATGCCAAACCAAGAAAGCAGCTGCGCAAAAACCAAGCCAGGGAACAATTCCGAAATAGGGCAAAAACCAGATGAGAGGCAGGTGAACACAACTGTAGAAATAACGTCTGAGGCTCCCATGCGTCGGAGTTTACACGTGGCTGTGGTGGAATGTGATGGTGCATGGCTGGGTCTAGTGACTGTGTTCTGATTGAAGTCTGATTGTTGCTTTTTGAGACTTATGGTATGGTAGGGAGTGTGATGCCGGCGGTTCTTTGGTGACTATTTCACAATGAGGTTATACAAATTTATATACAAGAGAAGATTTCTCATAAAAAGAAAAATAGAAAATTAAGGAAACTATATCAACAATAATAAGTAGAGAATAATCATATTTAGGACTATAATAACCTAAACCATTAATATAAAGATAATATCATTTGTTGCAGTTGAATAAATTTTGTTACAACATGAATTCTGAAATAGATCATTGAAATCTTCTAGATGCATTAATTTCATTATAACATTGGTGGTATTCTATAAACAAAATTCGGTTGAATGCAGAGCAAACTCTGTCCCTCACACTCTTCCATGTGTCTCCCGCACTCTTCCATGAGTAGTGTATGCTAATCTAGTTATATGCATGTCCTTTAGGTCTTTTATAAGTATACACATAATATTTTGAGTTTCCTGATGTTGGTGAGCGGATCTTTTTATGATGGCAGGAAACTGAAGTTTCTGCTGTTAAATATATCGCTTATGACGAGTATAAAAGGTTGCTGGCCAAAGAAGATTCAGACTATGTCCCTTATGATGTTCATGGACAATATGGTCAACTATTTGATTTAATTGAGAAGAGGTATGCTAATGTTTAAGATTCACACTAAATAAAAATATTAGTATTATGCTTTGGTTTATGATATAACCCAGCTAAATAGTGGACCAAAGGTTTGGAGAGTCTACACTAGGAGGGATAAGAAATAACCAATTTAGGAATCTTTTATCTATTAAGTTGATATTTTTTAGTTGTCATGCATCACTGGTTTTAATTTTAAATTAAAATTTAGGATTATCTAGTTACTTTTTTTATTTTGTTATTCTGATTTCAAGGAAGTTGTTAGGGGATGGGGAGTATGTTAGGATCTATCATTGTGTTTTTTATTAGGAGATTTTTCAAAGCTCAGGCTCTTGTAAAGAGGTATGTAGCATATCAATACTGCATCTCTCTTTCTAAATTAATTATATATCTTTGGTAATCCTTCTTTGATGCAATGACATTCATCTACTCATGATAATGTATCATTAGACTTGAACGGGAGGTGTATCATTATTTTAGACTTGAAGGTGAGGTGTAGACGGAAAATAGATTTGATGGAGGGATCATTTGACGTCAATCTTTCCCCATCATTCTCAATCAAAAACTTCCACAAGAAACTCAACCTTGTATTTAGGTGGTCTTTGTAGCCTTGACCATTGATCCATAGCTTGACATTAGAAGTCCAGGTATTGTAATTGGTTCCATCATGTTTCTTAGTGCAGAAGGAAGAAGTGACATAGAGATAAGAGAAGCGTAGGTTTTAAAAAACGGTCGCGGTCGCGTTGCGGTCTTGTAGCGGCTTTTGCGATTTCGGTCAGTATAGGTGTTGTGTTGCAAATAACGGTCGTCGCGGTGTGAATTTCTCACACCATTGCACAAAAGTAGAATTCTTGTAAAAACGGTAGTATTCCTATAAAATCAGTGTGATTCCATTTTTAAATAAAACAAAATTTTAGTTCAAAATTTCATTATTTTGATTCCTGTAAAAGCCATTTGATTTGTACTTTCAGGATAAAATTTCCCGTCAATATCGCTGTGTAAACGGCTGTAACGGTGGTGTAACAGCGTTTTGTCACAGCCGTAACGGGCTAACGGCGTTTCATCTGCAATTTTTTTTCTCAGCCTTAAAACAGTGAACGGTATCGGAAGGCTCCGATACCGTTTTGTCGCGGCCGTATTCACGGTCGCTGACTGTTTTTTAAAACACTTTCCAACACACTCTTTTTTATTGGTTAAAATTCATGTGGATTCCACACAATCATGTGGGACTCTTGTAAATTTTAACCAATAAAAGAGTGTTGAAAAGTGAGTTAGAAAGTGTGTTTCTACTTGCTAGCATTATTCTAGAAAATATAGGATGATCGGCCTTAGGGGAATCTGTCGTAAGACAGATATGATTGATGACCAGTGGACGAAAAGCAATGATGAAACACAACCTGAACTGATGTAAAAAATGGCGGACAAATCGCATGCGGTTAGGTTTGTAAGTGGGTGGGCTCTATGTTGCGAAAATGGCTACCACCATCGCAATAGAGGTGAGAAAATAGAAGTAAGAAGAAATGAAGGATGAAAAGTTGTACAGGTACAACAGTAACAGTGTGGCAGTGGTGTTTGTGGTCGTAGTCGCATTAAGGATGTTAAGAAATGTGGTTGGGCCTAATTCAACCCTACAAAACCGGCTGGTAGAGTGAGGATTGCCCCCACTTATAAACACATGTTCATGCCATATATTGTCCGATGTGGGACTCTTAACACACCCCCTCACGCTCAGGACTGGACAACTGAAGCGTGGAAATAGATGGTGGGTGGTCCGATAGCGGAAACCATAGAAGGTGGCCCACCGGATCTTAAACCAGGCTTTGATACCATGTTAAGAAATGTGGTTGGGCCTAACTCAACCCTACAAAACCGGCTGGTAGAGTGAGGATTGCCCCCACTTATAAACACATGTTCATGCCATATATTGTCCGATGTGGGACTCTTAACAAAGGATTTCATGATTTTAGCTGTTTAAGATTGCGGTCTTCGCGGTGTAAAATAATCACAACATTGCACAAATATTATTAAAACTATTTGTACTATCATATAGTTATGAGTTACGGCCATATATTAAGGGACAACAACTACCTAGCACACAATATAAAAAATAATGACAGGCATTGATTATATACTTAATTTGTCATTCCTTATATATTTGTTGAAGGTACAAAGAGAATACCGAAGCACGCAGTTTGACTTTACAAAAGCAATTAAGTCGCTATGCTCCTGTTTCTCTCAATGTAGAGGTTGTTGGATTTTCATTTTGTTTGCTTTGTTGCATTATATTTATTTCTATCTATCAATATTTAGCTTTAATTCTTTTTATATCCCTGTGCTTTTAACAATTGAACAGCATTACGGCTAAATTGTAGCATTTCAATCCTTAGATTGGTTTTGTTTCACTGCAGAGCCTTACGAATATATGGAAAGAATAGTAGCTGCAATGTTTTTATACATTTACAACCATAATAAACAGTTGGAAGTGATCTGAAATAGAAATAACTAATTTCAACTTACCAAAAGGCTGGCCTTGACCTTAATCAAGAGTATTGAGTCACGAGCAGTGTTATCAAATAGTGGTGCCATGGCCACCACTATGGCGGATATACATGGTGGTTTTTGGGCTTGTTGCAATGGTATATATTGGCCGAATTGCGATTTTTCCGCCATAATCCGCTATAACGGTGCTGCATAGCGGCCGGTATGGCGGGATTTTGGCTCTCCGTCATGGACCGCCATCTGCCATCGACAATACTGGTCACAAGACATAATAATCGATAACAAAAAAATAAGCTAAACTATTGAATTCAAGTAATACTGAACAGAGAGATATAACAGAAACTTAGAGTAGAAAACATGTATCTTCCAATTTTTTCCCCTCGGCCTGAAGTCTTATTCTTATTTGTAGATATTACACATGTAAATTTAATAACCCTGAAATAAAAGGACGCGAGTTTCACCAAACAGCTGTAAGAAACATCTTAAAAAATATCTGGATATGCCCAAAACAGCACCAAAAAACCAAAACAGCTAGAAACACAGATTGATTCTATCTGAAATGACACCTGACGGCTGTGAAAATCTTCCATAGTGACCGAACTTTTGTCAGACAAACAGGACCCTTTTTGTCTGTACCCAAAACATGAGCCATCTCCCTTTGAAAAATACCTGGACATTTTCGTTACTCACTTTCTCTTTCAAGATCTGGTTGGTTTCTTCATAAGAAATCTAAAAAACTTATTTTAACACTATTATTTGATTTGATGATATTCTTCTGGGTCTTAAGTAAAAAGTATGCTTGCCAAATACGGCCCAAGATCCATATAATATGGTGGATCACATGTGAATTTCACTTGACAACAGTTTGTTAAAAATAATGTTATTTGAAAATATGTTAGTAGTATTTGTCTTTCTTCAATATACGGTTACAAATGATACAGTAATTGGAAGCCAATACCTCAGTCTCCCTGTGTATATATTACACCGGTTTATAAGTGCGGTAAAATGTAAATTTGGACCAAGCCCATCTACTCAACAACCTAATGTTAACATCAACTTTAACAGACAGAATGGAGTTCAAATTTGTAACTTAAAATAATAAATATTGAATTTGATCTAGCCAAGAAGGTTGTTGATACTTAGGAGTTATCCAAATGGATAATCGAACCAAGTTTTAAGTATTTAAGCTGAATCATACAATCTCTACTGTGCCAATATATTGAAATTGTCTGATAGTTAGTTAGTTAGAAATATATTATTCTATTAATACGTTTTAGGGCATCGCACTGTTAAATTATTTCTGACATTTTTTAAAATTGAAGATTAGAGAAGGCTATCACCTCTTTTAGACTTCCATCTTTCTAGAATTATTAACAAAACATAACTTTAATCTCTATTTTCTTGGTAACGTGCTCTTGATCCTGAATGGTTAAGACATTTCTGAGTCACAAGGCCAGAAGCCACATGTCAAAGTATTTCTAGCCATATCTAATATTTTGTTGATTTATGAGCACTAGAAAGACCAGATTATGTTAATGTCATACATATTTGCAAGGAGACATGTGATACCGGCAATTAGTTTACGTTTTACATCAGTATGACTATGTATGTATATAGAGGTTTTGGATGAATTCTTGTTGCAAAGAAATTAATTTAAAATCCAAAACAAGTTTGGTTTATAAATTTTGAAGGTTATTTATGATATTATTATTAGTTGAGCGTAACAATTCATGGATATACCAACATATTTATCATAAGTTTTTGTACCCTTTTAACCTTGGAAATAAGCTTTTTATTTTTTTGGCAGTTGACAGGACTTACAGATTCAGACAAAGAGGCTCTTCTTTTTATTGTCAAGGCTGCAAGTGTTATGGATGAAATTTTTTCTCTGCAGGTTTAGTTTATAATACATTTATAGCTCTGTTTATATACAATTTATATGTACCATATGTATGTTGGTTTTTCTTTCTATTTTCAACGTGGATGTTCATATCAAATATATAAGTTCTTAGCTTTTGTCTGAGCAAATAATTTTTCACATGCATGTAATAATGTTACATGTGTCATGCTTGGTACCTAGGTTTTACTAATTATTTTTGTGAAATTTGATTGGCAATTTGTTTAGTGCTCCAAAACATATTCTTTATTTCTGTGGTTGGAGATTAGAATCAGGAAGACTGATGTGTACGAATAATAGTGTGTATTACTAAAGTTTCTGTTTATTTCCGTATCAGTCGTGGTACAGTAATCCAGCTCTTAGAGAATGGTTGAAGGAACAAGCAGATACGTCAGAGTTAAATAAGTTGAAATGGTCCTATTATCAGATAAACAAGAGTCCATGGTAAGTCCTTTAAATCTTGACTGCTTACTCTAGCAACTGTATTTATGTAGACGAACAGATTTTGGTGATTTTGTATCTTAGAAAATCAACTTGGACTTAAGATGAAACTCTGGTGTTTTCTTGTACCCGAGGATGTAACACCCTAAACCCTTGTACTTGAGGATGTAGTACTCTAAACCTTGAAACTTATATTTAAAATAAGTTCAAACATTAAAATTAAACTCAATCGGGGCTATGCCTTCAACATTAAAACGACTCAAAATTAAATAAGTTCAAACATCGCTTCTATTTAAAATTAAACTCAATCGGGGCTATGCCTTCAACATTAAAACGACTCAAAATTAAAAGTTATAACATTTACTCTTGCAACGACAACTCTGAATAAAACAAAAAATCATATTCGTCCGTCCAGTGTTATTGATCAGAGCAACGATAATCTAAAACACATAAAATTGAAAAGGAAGAATAGCCTCAACGCCACAATAAATTAAATGGGTGAGAATACGCTCAAAATATATAATGGTGCAAAAGAATGCAAGGGGAGCCTAAACAACAGTATACAATAATCATCAACAAATAATGTATTCACACACAATCATCAATTCACAAAATGCAAACTCATATGCAATGTAACAACATCTTAACTCTACATGCATATGGTACCAACACAACAATGGTTCTTCATATGAACTGAGTCCTAACATCTGAACCCTGAGCCCCCTCTTTTGAGCTCGGGGCAATCACTAGTCCCAACATCTGAACTCGTGACTTGTCTCTTTCATAATATCGACAACATATAATGCATGTACAATATAATGCACAACCACAATAACTCAACAACAAATTTACAGTTCCACATCTAACTGTAAATAACATCAAAGTAGTCCTCGCAACTGGATTACCCACCACAATCTCTATTACAAGTTCATCACATAATTATTTAATCATCAACACAATTCAACATCATTAGTGTTGTAAATAAGTTATTTTTACTACTATTAGTAGTAATTTATATTTGGGCTTTTAGTCCATTAGTTAGATCCATTAGATTAGAATAGTCTTATATAAAGAGATTAGTGCTTGTATTTTTAACATACTTAATATATTATTTAGTTTTAAACATGATATCACGAGCTTTCGTTCCAGAGGGTTTCGCTTCCGCATAAAAATGTCTTAATTGCGGTTTTTTTCAAAACCCTAGCCACTTTAATTGTATTTCTTTTTTCAAAACCCTAGCCGCCGTCTTTGCAGGGTTTCAGGTCAAGGAACTGTTCATTCTGCGCACTGTTCACCTGCACTACTATTCACCGATGAAAAATTGTTCATTCGCGCACTGTTCATCACCCCGTGGTCCTGTTCATGACTGAAAATAACGTTCGTTGCTAGAATACTGTTCACCGTGCGACACTATTCATTAAAAAAGAAAAAAACTCAGTTGAAGGTTGTATTCCTCTTTACAATTGTCTGCCGTTTTTTTTTTTAATTCCACATTCACATGCCATCCGCCAATGTCAGAAGGAGAATTGGTTCAACTCAACGAAGACGAAGTAGAGAGGCTGAGATCCCTCCTTAGTAAGTTAGAGAAACCAACTGGTACTTTTTCTTTGGTACATTCAAGTACGTTTCCGTTTTCAATTCCTCTTGGTAAGTCTCAATTTTCTTTTGGATTTAATGCCTCAGATAAACCCGTTAACCAATATTGAATACTGGATTCTGGAGCCAACGACCACATGACATCTTTACCCACACATTTTTCTACTTATTCACCATGTCCTAGCAACAAAAAAAATCCACTGCAGATGGTACCCTTATAACTGTAGCTGGGCAAGGAGATATCCAAATAAGGCCATCTATAATCCTTCGAAATGTTCTTCATATTCCCAAATTGTCCACTAGCCTAATTTCCATACAAAAACTCACAACCGACCTATCATGTAATGTTTTTTATAATAATGCTTGTGTTTTTCGGAAAAAAAATTTAGGGAGGACAATTGGAAATGCTAGAGAATGGAATGGTCTTTATTACTTGGATAATCAAATTATTCCTCCAAATCTATTTAGCAACAACAAATCCTTTTATTCAGAATCAATTAAAATCAACAGAGAGAAGGTCCTTCTGTATCATTGTCGCCTTGGTCATCCATCATTTAGAGTCATAAAACAATTATTTTCTTCATTATTTAAAAGTTTAGATGTGGAAAGTCTTTGTTGTGAGGTGTGTCAACTTGCTAAACACAAGCGTGTCTGTTTTCCAATCAGTAATAAAATAAGTACTTTTTCGTTTTACTTAATTCATACTGGCGTTTGGGGTCCGTCGAATGTTCCAAATATATCAGGTGCTCGTTGGTTTGTAACATTTATTGATGATTGCACCCGTGTTACTTGGGTCTACTTGTTAAAACAAAAATCTGAAGTTTGTTCTGAGTTTCTTCACTTCTTCTCTATGGTTAAAATTAGTTTGGTGTGAGTATTAAGAGAATTAGGTCCGATAATGCCAAAGATTACTTTAACCAATTCTTTTTGTCAAAAAGAAGGTATTATTCATGAGTCTTCTTGTGTTAAAATCCCTTAACAAAATGAGATTGTTGAGAGAAAGAATGAGCAATTGTTAGACCAAACATGTCCTATGATATTCCAAAATAAAGTTCTTAAGAAATATTGTGGTGAGGCTGTTTTAACTGCATCATATCTCATTAATCGTCTACCCTCTACCGTACTTGCCTCCAAACCCCCTATGGAAGTTTTATCCTCATCCTATCCTGATGTGTCTACTTCAAGTAATCTGACTCCTAAAATATTTGGGTGTACATCATTTGTCCATATCCATAGTGATGGAGGAAAACTTGATCCTAGAGCGTTAAAATGTGTCTTTATAGAATACTCTTCTATCCAAAAGGGTTACAAATGTTATCATCCACCATCTCATAAATATTTATCTCTCGAGATGTCACCTTCCATGAACAAGAAAATTACTTCCTTCAAACTCATCTTCAGGGGGAAAATATAAGTAAGGAAGATGAGTCTTCTCTACTTCTTGACCTTACTTTCAAAGAAGTTGAGACTGAAACTAGTGGTGACAATGTTAAGACTGAACTTGATTCTGGAAAAAATGGAAATGTTGAAACTGATGTAAGATTTGGAAAGAATTTAATATATAAAAGAAAGAAGAACATTCCTGAATCTACTCATTTCCAAGAATCCAATCTGACATTACATGAGCTAACTTTTTCCGACCCTTTAAGCACTAGTGATTCAATTTTTGAATTTTCTCATGAATAAGAAACATAATCCAACTCAGGACTACCACCACACTACATGAATTTATATCTTCCAATTGCCCTTAGAAAAGATACCAGAAAATGTACTAAAAAGCCAATTTACCCTATATCAAACTACCTAAGTTTTGAACATTTTTCACCCACCCATAAAGCATTTCTCACAAGTCTAAACACTATAACAATACGTAACTCTTTATCTGAGGCATTGTCTGACAGGAAATGAAAACAAGCCATGGACTTGGAGATGGAGGCACTGAATAAGAACAATACTTGAGAGTTGGTTTCTTTGCCAAATGGGAAGAAACCTGTAGGGTGCAGATGGGTATACAGTGTAAAATACAAGGCTGGATCTATTGAGAGGTACAAGTAAAGATTGGTTGCCAAAGGATTCACTCAAACTTATGGAGTGGATTACTCATAGACATTTGCTCTAGTTACTAAAATGAATACAGTTAGGGTGATATGTTGAAGATTAGCACACATCAAATCATAATCATTTGATTCTGATTTGTCTAAGCTGTTACAAAACAATGGTGTAAATAGAGTTATTATCTATTATTGTTATTTCTTTATTTAGGTAATTACTATTTTCTTATTTAGGTAGCAACAATTATAGGAAATTATTTTCTCTGTTTATTAAAAAACTAGGGTACAACTTTCAACCTATTGTATTCTATTTATACCTCACAGAGTGTCAATCACAATGAAATATATAACATATTTCTACATGGTATCAGAGCACAAGATCTGAACCATTCCTAAACCTTGAGCACCACCCATGGCAGATACTAAAGCAGAAAATTCAGCCAACAATTTAGTTGAGGGACATGCTCTTCCTATCACTGGTCACAAATTGAATGGCCAGAATTACAATCAATGGGTGTGCTCAGTCAAAATCTACCTTCAAGGAAAAGGGAAGGAAGGTTATATCATAGGAGACTCCAAGTGTTCAGAAAAGGAGGATTCCAACCTCAAAAAATGGCAACTAGAAAACAGTCTAGTAATCTCATGGCTGCTAAACACCATGACACTACTAAAGAGATGTGGGATGCCGTAAAGGAAACCTACTCTAGTGTCGACAATACATCTGCAATTTTTGAAATCAAGAGCATACTCCATGATTTACGTCAAGATGACCGTTCAGTCACAGAGTATTTTAATACTCTCAATCGTCACTGACAACAATTGGATATATATGATGAAGATGAATGGAGCTGCACAGAGGATAAAAAGAAGTACAAAGAATTGGTGGAGAAAGATAGAGTCTACAAATTTCTATTAGGTTTGAACACAGAACTTGATGAAATTCGTGGGAGAATCCTTGGAACCAAACCTCTTCCAAAAATTCGGGAAGCTTTCTCGGAAATACGAAGAGAGGAGAGCAGGAGAAAAATGATGCTTGGAAAATCCAGTGCAGCCCCATCTACATAGGGATCTACAATGGCAGCAAGGGGATATCAACGTTCTTTCCAAAAGAAAACCCGGCCTTGGTGTGACCACTGCAAGAAACCGGTCATACCAAGGACACATGCTGGATCATTCATGGAAAGCCATTAGAGCTAAAATGGACAAAAATCGAGACAGCAGAGGAAACACAACTGAGGTCAATTCCCACTCATCACCATTCAGCAAGGAGCAAATGGAAGCTTTACAAAAAATGCTTCAACAAACAATTGGTACAGCTATTGTGGCACAAAAAGGTAATTTTTTGCATGCTCTAAG